GATTTGTCCTACCCCCAGGTTAGTGAATTTTGTTGACTACATAGTAATTGCATAAAAAGTAATGCCTTAAGTTACAATTCTAGGGCTGGACAATGTATGTGGTCTTATTAAAGATATAGGCAATTTATTTTGAATTGTCCATCCTGTCCCTGCAGAAATAATAGGTAGCTCAGCTGGGGAGGCAGGTTCAAATCCATTAGACATTGTTGATCAAATGTACTCTTGGTATAATATGATGAAAATGGCATTTTACCTGTGGTCTTCCTCCCCAAAACTTGAAGTCTTAGTCTAATCGTGAGAAAAACAGACACGTTCCAACTGAGGGACATTCTACAAAATATCTAACAAAAATGCTTCTCAAAACTATCAAGGTCATCAAAAGCAGAGAAGGTCTGAGAAATTGTCAAAGCCAAGAGGAGCCTAAGGATACATAATGAATAAATGTCATGTGGTATCCTGAATGACTTCATGGAACAGAAAAAGAACACTAAACACTAAGTACAAACTAAAAAAATCTGAGTAAACTGTGGACTTAAGTTCATTATAATGTATAAATATTGGTTCATTACTGGTCATTAATACTAACTTACAATGTTAATATTAGGGGAAACTATATAAGAACTCTCTACACTATATTCATAATTTTTCTGTTAATTTAAAAATGTTCTAAAATAAAAGTTTGTTTAAATATACTAACAATATTTTAATATAGTATAGGGAATGTAGTGCAGGAATAAAGACATATGAACTGTGGGAGAAAAGTGACAGAGGAAAAAAATTCCAAAATGATTCTTAAAGATCTTGACTCAAAAGGCAGACCAAATGTTTTTGTATTTTGTATCATGTCTTTAAATTTATCCATGTGTATTATGTATATATTTTGGGCATTCGGCTTACAATATATATTCTATAAGTATTGTGACAGAAGTATTGTTAACTTCTGTCTTTATAAAGACCAAACCAAATCCTTTGAGTTTTAGAAAAATAAGCCACAATCTACCAAAAGTAAAGGAATAACAATCAGATTCAGTGGATTATGGGAAAAATTATATATTTAGCAAAGCATGACCTCCTCTCCAACATAAGTCTAGAAAAATAAATAAGCCTTTGGGCATCAATTGATGAGTAAAACATTTCTTAATGAGCCAGATACACTAACATTACTACCTGGAATTACACTGAACATTCATGCCTTGTGTAATTTTTTTCCAAGATGCTTCCTACACCTAAAATGCCTGTCTCCCTCACATTTTTTTCTAAGTTCAAAGTCTTGATCATCTTTCATGGTTCACCTCAAATATCTCCTCCCTAGTGAGAACAAACTGCTCATTTCTCTGAGTGGTCATAATAGTGTGTTTCTCCGTCATCTCATGGACTTAAAACAATTTTTCATAGATGTTGTTTATAGATGTTTATAAGCAACGTTTTTTATAGCTGTTGTTTATAGCTGTTTCTCCCATTTGGCTATAAGAGTCTTAAGAGTAGGGTCCATATCATAACCACTCTTCCTCTCCACACAGTGTCTGACATTCATTCATTTGTTCAACAACCATTTACCACATGTCTACCATTCAATATCATCGAATGAACAGGAGGAGGAAAATTACAGAGAAAAACGAACAACTAAATGTTAATGTTGTAGG